AGCCTCATAAGATGAGCTTGGAATATTTTCCTCTCCCTCAGCTCTTTGTAATAGTTGGTGAAGAATTAGTATTAATTCTGTTTTTAAAGTTTGATAAAATTCAGCACTGAAGATATCTCTGTTCCTGGAAGTTTCTTTGTTGGGAGACTGTTAACTAATTCAATCCCATCCTTGGATATTTTTCCATCAGGCTTTTCTGTGTCTTTATGATTCAATTTTGGTCAGTTACATGTTTCTCAGAATCTATATACTTCTTCTAGGTTTTCTAGCTTATGGGCATATAGTTATTTTAGATCCTAATGACTCTGTATTTCTGAAGCATTATCTCTGATTTTATTGTTTTGGGGACTTTTTCTTGGTTATTCTGGCTAATAGTTTATTTACTTTGTTTATCTTTTCCCCAAACCACCTCTTCATTTAATAGAATTTTAAAAGGAAATATTTTTGGTACTTAAATTTCAACATCAAACATTTTTTATTTTTTTATTACAAACATGAGATAAGAATTTTGCAATAATAGAAATAGCTCCCAGTCAGCCCCATGATCAATGGGGGAAGTGACCAGTGGTTCACATTGTTCTTTGTTGCTCAGCTAGGACATTCAGTGTGTCAAGTGCATTTTGAAATTAGGATATTTTCCACTTATGATGAAATTATTGCAGTGTAGCACCAGTAAAGTGAGTTTGAGTCTAAGGACTCTAAAATAAAGGTTTCATACTGAATCTGAACTTTAAGTGGTTATGAAACTATAAACTGCTTTCTGTTAACAGATTGTAGTGTATTCATCCCAATATTGGTATGATATAGCATCTATAAAATTTTATTTTGTTAAGAATGTCAATTGTTAAATCAACAACAGGAGTCACAGTGCACTTGCCCGCCATGTAGGACCCCTGTCCTTAATGTGTTGTACTATGAGAATTGATGGTAAAATTAGTCTTCAAACAATACTTTATACTTCGTGTGTCTGTGTGGGTGCAAACTGTTGAAATCTTTACTTAGTATAGAGTTGATCTTCTGTATATAAAGATAATTAAAATGAATCTTAATGAAGAGCGGGATGGGAAAGGGAGTAGGAGGTGGGACAGTTTGGGGGTGGGTGGGCAGCTTTCGGGGGAGAACCACTATAACCCAAAAGTTGTACTTATGAAATTTATATTTATTAAATAAAAGCTTTCTATAAAAATTTTATTTTGTATTTCCCCATATAAAAACAAATAAAATGGCTGGCGCCGTGGCTCACTAGGCTAATCCTCTGCCTTGCGGCGCCGGCACACCGGGTTCTAGTCCCGGTCGGGGCGCCGGATTCTGTCCCGGTTGCCCCTCTTCCGGGCCAGCTCTCTGCTGTGGCCAGGGAGTGCAGTGGAGGATGGCCCAGGTGCTTGGGCCCTGTACCCCATGGGAGACCAGGATAAGTACCTGGCTCCTGGCTCCTGCCATCGGATCAGCGCGGTGCGCCGGCCGCAGCAGGCTGGCTGTAGCGGCCATTGGAGGGTGAACCAATGGCAAAGGAAGACCTTTCTCTCTGTCTCTCTCTCTCACTGTCCACTCTGCCTGTCAAAAAAAAAAAAAAAAAAAAAAAAAACACTTTTAGATTAAGCCTTACATGACTTTCATATTATAAATTTCTGTTTACATATTTTTACAATAGTTTTCTATGTAATGGTAAACATATAGGTTTAATGTGTTCTTTCAAGGTAACTGCAAATGTGCATAGAAAAATCCTTATTTGCATTTTTATATGAATGAGTATAGCTCCCCTTCTCACACCCGGCCAGTATGAAAAAAGAAAGTATAATCAACCTACCCAATAGATTACATTTCAGGTACTCTATTAGTTACCTTGGATAGGGAAAATATATGATAGCTTTTGAGACTGGTTTATTTCACTAAGTATAATGGTTTCCAGTTTAGTCCATCTTGTTGCAAAAGACAGGACTTCATTTTTATTTTTTTTTACCACTGAGTAATACCCCATAGTGTATATATAATTTTTTATCCAGTCAACAGTTGATGGACATCTGGGTTGATTCCATATCTTAGCTATTGTGGGTTATGCTTCATTGAATGTGGGGGTACAGAAAACTCTTTCATATGCTGATTTCTTTCAGCTTGGGAGTGAAATAGACATTTCGAGATTTGATGATCATTTATAGTCCTTGTCTCTTCCCGTGAGGAACTATTTGTTTCCTTCATACTATTTGTTGAACTCTTTTACTTAGTGTAGGGTTAACTAGATGATCATTATGTAAACTGAAAATCGATTTTTGTAAACATTAAGAGTGGGAATGTGAGAGGGATGAGGAAGAAGGGAGGAGCGTGGGCAGGAGGGAGGGTAAGGGGGAGGAATCACAATGCCCCTATATATGTATGTATGAAATACATGGAGCGTGGGGAGGAGGGAGGGTGAGGGGGAGGAATCACAATGCCCCTATATATGTATGTATGAAATACATGGAGCGTGGGCAGGAGGGAGGGTAAGGGGGAGGAATCACAATGCTCCTATATATGTATGTATGAACTACATGGAGCGTGGGCAGGAGGGAGGGTGAGGGGGAGGAATCACAATGCCCCTATATTTGTATGTATGAACTACATGGAGCGTGGGCAGGAGGGAGGGTGAGGGGGAAGAATCACAATGCCCCTATATATGTATGTATGAACTACATGGAGCGTGGGCAGGAGGGAGGGTGAGGGGGAAGAATCACAATGCCCCTATATATGTATGTATGAAATACATGGAGCGTGGGCAGGAGGGAGGGTGAGGGGGAAGAATCACAATGCCCCTATATATGTATGTATGAAATACATGGAGCGTGGGCAGGAGGGAGGGTGAGGGGGAAGAATCACAATGCCCCTATATATGTATGTATGAAATACATGGAGCGTGGGCAGGAGGGAGGGTGAGGGGGAAGAATCACAATGCCCCTATATATGTATGTATGAACTACATGGAGCGTGGGCAGGAGGGAGGGTAAGGGGGAAGAATCACAATGCCCCTATATATGTATGTATGAAACACATGGAGCGTGGGCAGGAGGGAGGGTAAGGGGGAAGAATCACAATGCCCCTATATATGTATGTATGAAACACATGGAGCGTGGGCAGGAGGGAGGGTGAGGGGGAAGAATCACAATGCCCCTATATATGTATGTATGAAATACATGGAGCATGGGCAGGAGGGAGGGTGAGGGGGAAGAATCACAATGCTCCTATATATGTATGTATGAACTACATGGAGCATGGGCAGGAGGGAGGGTGAGGGGGAAGAATCACAATGCTCCTATATATGTATGTATGAACTACATGGAGCGTGGGCAGGAGGGAGGGTAAGGGGGAGGAATCACATGCCCCTATATATGTATGTATGAAATACATGGAGCGTGGGCAGGAGGGAGGGTGAGGGGGAAGAATCACAATGCTCCTATATATGTATGTATGAACTACATGGAGCGTGGGCAGGAGGGAGGGTGAGGGGGAAGAATCACAATGCCCCTATATATGTATGTATGAAATACATGGAGCGTGGGCAGGAGGGAGGGTGAGGGGGAAGAATCACAATGCTCCTATATATGTATGTATGAACTACATGGAGCGTGGGCAGGAGGGAGGGTGAGGGGGAGGAATCACATGCCCCTATATATGTATGTATGAAATACATGGAGCGTGGGCAGGAGGGAGGGTGAGGGGGAGGAATCACAATGCCCTTATATATGTATGTATGAACTACATGGGGCGTGGGCAGGAGGGAGGGTAAGGGGGAAGAATCACAATGCCCTTATATATGTATGTATGAACTACATGGAGCGTGGGCAGGAGGGAGGGTGAGGGGGAGGAATCACAATGCTCCTATATATGTATGTATGAAATACATGGAGTGTGGGCAGGAGGGAGGGTAAGGGGGAGGAATCACATGCCCCTATATATGTATGTATGAACTACATGGAGCATGGGCAGGAGGGAGGGTAAGGGGGAGGAATCACAATGCCCCTATATATGTATGTATGAAATACATGAAACTTGTGCAACTTAATAAAATCTACACTTGATCTTCGCCAAAAGGACGAGAAGCGATAAACTTAATAAAATCTAAAAAAAATTTAAGTCAACCTACCCATTTCTAATATTCTTCTCCTACAATTTCTTGCTGAATTCTATTATTTCTTTCCATCAAGGAGTAAAAAAACATGAATATGTCAATACATGTCTCGGAACATGAATGAGCATGTCCCACAGAGGTTCGTGTGTTGGAATTTACACACAGAAGCCAGACTGGTGAGAAATTGGAAATTAGATTTATGAGAATTTCAGGCCAGTTGTTAACTTTCTCATTTTACAGCCCATTGTTTTTAGGAGAGTATCTGTTTCTCACTGGCAAAAGAGAGAATCCAGTGGGAGCCACTAAAAGCAAGTAGAAGTCCTAGACTGGACTGGTTCAACACATACGATAAAGTGCCTGAGTCCATTAGAGAGGGGCCGAGGTTCAACTATTTCAACTGTGGCTTAGGCAGGTGCTGTAACAGCTTTACAAAGCAAAGGGGGTGCAACCAGGCAAAAGTCCCAGCATGCCGGAGCAGCAAGAAAAACCCACAACTGAGTCAAATTGAGTGCACCTTGTCCCCCTTTTGTTGGCAGTTCTGCATGTGAGCAGGAAGGACCGTAACAGAATTCTTCTGTCTCTCTGACCCAGGAAAGGGACTCCAGCTCACTGGCACATTCGCCCTGTGAACAAGCTTCGTTGTATTTTCCAGGGAGACAAGCTAGAATTTCAGCACAGGCAACATGGCTGTTTCTATTGCAAAAACATCAAGAAAGTTCCTAACAGAATGTAACTCTTCATCAGCCTTGTTTATTCACTCTGGGAGCCACCGCAGGTCATGCTGTTTGCTTGGTGCCATTTGGTCTGCCCCGACGCCTTCCTGGACAGGAAGTCCTTAAGATTAAAGATTATATTTTCATGATCTCAGGGCTGCCCACTCCAGACTATTCACTAAAGAGAAATGCAGCTAGGAGTCAATTTGTGGAAAGGATATTAACAATCATTTGTGTGTGTCATGATGAAAACTAAGAAGAAAGAAGGTGGAATAATGGAATAAATCAGCAATGTCATTGTTTGGAATCTTGAAAAGAAGAGTGTTTCTCTGTTGGTGTAGAATCCTTTCGTTTGAGGTCAGTGTTGCATATGTAATTAAAATTGGCAAAGAACTTAGGATATTGGGATACTAACAGGACAAATAAAGAATTTCATCTTATTCTCTGTTTTTTTCCAAAACAATGCTCTGGCAAGTGGAAACAAGTCATATATGAGAAAGTAAGGCTGCCTGGGGGTGCAGGAAAGAGGTTGTGTGTTCTTTGTCAGCCTCCTCATATGCTGAGGCTTCAACACAATTGTTTAAATAGAAGACGTTTTGAAAATCCAGTTTCTTCATATAAGCCTGGTGGCTGACTTATGGTTCTACATTTTATAAACATGCCACTTGGGTTTATATTTCTGCATTTAATATTTGTCAAGGTAAGGTAACAAGGTGCTACATAAGATTAAGTTACATCTTAAAAAAATCCTTTAGCTTTTCAGAATGAATCATGTTCATGCAATAGAAAATTCATATTTTTTCCTGTTATATTTTCCCCAGAAATCTTTTATTTAAGGAATGCAAATTTCATTATGCATGTTATTTTTATGATAGTTTTAAGACATAATTTTGAACATAAGTTTTGAGAGATGATTGACATTTCTGGGATTTTGTATACCTGTGTATATGTCGGCTCATTAAGGTATTCACTTCAATATCAAAATGAAACTGCAATAACAGTATCTATGACGAGTTTTAAGAAATTCGTTTCACTCTACTCCTCTGTTAATCTTTAATGAATCACAAAAGTATTACAATAATCCTTAATATGGAAAAATAATTTAAGTAATTACCAAAGCAATTATTATTAATATCTAACAGTAATCATATATATTAACTTAATGTCCATGTGAAAAATAGAGGATGAGAATTAGGCATTAATACAAGAAATTCTTTGTGAAAGGAATAGCATAGTGACTTCATGTCTGGGGAAGAATAAAAAACAGTACAAATTTTAAGTTATATGTGATTTAAAAGCAGTTGTATATTCAAGTTAGGAAATGTGAGAAAAATGCAAATAAAATAACAGGCACACACAGTCTCATCATCCAGTGACAACCACTGTCAGCGTTAGGTCTGCCACACTCAGGGGCTCTTCAGTGTACGTGTCTTTAAGTAGTTTTTTCTAATTCACCAGTGCTGGTGGTTCATGGAATGGTATTCAATTTTATAATTTCCTTTTGCATACTATCAGGATATTTTCTTTTTTTAATATTTATTTATTTGAAAGGCAGAGTTACAGAGAGGCAGAGGCAGAGAGAGAGAGAGAGAGAGAGAGAGAGAGAGAGAAATCTTCCATCTGCTGGTTCACTCCACAGATGGCCACAACGGCCAGAGCTGTGCCAATTCGAAGCCAGGATCCAGGAGCTTTTTTCAGGTCTCCCACGTGGTGGCAGGGGACCAAGGACTTGGGCCATCTTCTACTGCTTTCCCAGGCCATAGCAGAAGTGGATCAGAAGTGGAGCAGCCAGCCGGAACTGGAACTGGGGCCCACATAGGATGCCGGCACTGCAGGTGGTGGCTTTACCGGCTACACCACAGTGCTGGCCCCAGAAGAATATTTTTAAATTTCATTATTCTCCCACACCTACATGATCATTTATCTATTTAGTCAGCCTCTTATGGTGGCCATGTAGTTTGGTTACAATGATTTTACTGGCGGTGGGAAGTGGGAAGTTATCTTACTGCTGACCACTTTGGGTTCCCAACATCACAGTTGTGTGTGAGAGGCAGTGACGAGTTGAGGACAAGGTGTTTTCAAACCTCTCCTGGGAGTATACCGCTTCCTTCTCTCCTCCCAATACTTCTACCCAGATGTCCCGCTTTCAAATTCTTTCACTATACTCTTGTATCATCTGACATCAACTGCTTGATTTATTTTGAACTTTACAGTTGGAAAAACAAACTCTCAACAGCTATTATGGATGTTGCTATTTGGCTCCTATAAGTATCTCAGACCCTGTATATTATTTTCATCCCTTTAGGTTTAGAGCAAGCTTAAATACCAATATAGATCATCCTTGTGCCGACTTCCTCGGACAGCAGCTTCCTTCCAAGGTGTAAAAGCCAATTTTTACTTTTCTGACAGCATAAGAGTGGTGGCTTTCCTGTTATTTTCCTCTTTTCTTTTGTAAACTAAAGGTGACGGTTTCATGCCAGGGTCTGACAAATTTAGCTTGGCTGGGACTGAGGGCACGTTCCGTGAAAAGGCCGTGATAGGTTGCAGGGGGTGGCCCTGCCGTGGGCTCTGAGTTGAGTTTTCTGTGCTCAGATTCATGGTTCTGTGAGTCTCCATCCTAACAAATTCAAGGAAAGGAACCTTCTCTGTATTTGTGAAATACAAAATAGGTTTTCAGATGAGCTAAACATCTTGGGTGGGTTTTATTTATTCATTTTTTGAGTTTTCCATAAAAGCTTTCCTATTGCCTTCTGCATCCACTTAGAGATACAAACAGGGCGCAATCTCAGTGCAATCCTCTTGAATTCACTTCCTGTTTTTCACGACAACTCTTAGTGTTGTTTTTGTGAAAGAGAGCTAAATTCCTTAATGAACAAGTTATTGAACTCAGAAAAAAAAATAAAGTTTCCTGGCCGGCTTTAGGCTTTGACAACTGCTCCTTACACAAAATCTGTGACTGCTTTAAATACATTCTCACAGATATTAGGATGTGCATGGTCAGGGTTCCCAGACTACTGCAAATCTGCGTCCCAGATCTGAGAGAGGTGCCAGTGCCCCTCTAAAATAGAGGAAGAAGAAAAAAAGCCCAATGATAAAAGGCAAGTAAACTTTTGTGGACACAAATGTAGTAAATCAAACAAAGTAAACTAGACTGATCACAAAGTGAAAAAATCCCAAACAAAAGCCCTACCCAAACTAATTAAAATTTTAACCCCCACCCCAATCCTAACAGCTTTGATTGACACTTAATAGTTCAGCTAGTTCATTTGTTTTTAAGGCCAAAGTTCCCGCAGCATAAAAACAGCACAATGGCCCCTGCTTGGCAGCTTGCAGACAAGTGCAAGGAGCATGGAGAAGCGCTGATGATTCTATTGAAGAGCAGCTGTTTGTGCCTCACTTGTGACCCGCAGGGCGCTCTGGGCTGCCTGTGCCAAAGCCCATTCCCTCTGCTCTCAAAACTGCCTGCTATTCACGCGGTGGAAGCGGGGCAGGCGTTGGCTTCAGCGACTTCAAGAAACAGATGCGGCAATTACCTTCACAAGCGGGAGCCAGATGAGCTTTGAGTGGTGGCCGCCTTTTACCATGGTGGTCCGTGCAAGGGAGACGTTTATTGCTGGTAATCCTTTTAGATCTTCAACACCAATTGATCGTCTTTGCTTCAAGCTATTGTCCACACAGATGGCGCTGGGCTTGGAATGCAGGGGCGGACAAGTCCTGCGTGTGTTTGAACACTTTATACTTTTGTCCTAAGAGGTTGAGTTATGAAGCCTGGTAATAAAGAGAGAATAGCTTCATCAGGTGTTATCTATCTGCTCATGGGTAGGGCTGAGGGGGCCATCGACACAGCCTCAGAGATAGGCTAATGCAAGGTGATTTTATATGTAGATTGTATGTCACATACATACGTACATGCATAGCATAACCACATGTGTGTAGACAGTACATCCATGGACGAAAAGCTGTAAATGTTAGACTCGCTTTGCAATAAGTAACTCTCTTCTTTACACAGCAGTTATATCACCACGTGAGAGTCTGAAATCGCTTCGTTGTTTAAAATGCACACACGTGGTTCTATTGCTCTTGACACGGCCTTTGGGAACCGGGGTCGTGGAACTTTGAACGTCTGAGACACACAGGGTCGACTTGTGAGACGTGTGGATTCCCTCGGATGGGAGGACATTGTGCAGGTCCCAGGCTTTCGCTCTGATGAGGGGCCCCGTTATCAGTCTCAGGGCCTGTGACCACACTTGGAGCGGCCTGCAGTTGGGTTCTTGGCTCAGCCACAGGAGTCTTGGGACAGATGTCTGCTGGTTCCTTCATCATCCAATCTTTTTTGTCTATTTTAATTTTTATTTATTTGAGAGACAGAGAAAGAGAGAGAGACTGAGAGACATAGACAGCTAGAGACATGAATGGAGCTCCTAGATGCTGGTTTATTCCTAATGGTGGTAGGTGGACCAAAGTGAAAGCCAGAGCTGGAAACTTGATCCAGGTCTCCCACGTGGGTGGCAGGAACCCAAATACTTGAGGCATCACCTGATGACTCCCAGGGTCTGAATTAGCAGGAAGCCAGAGTCACTCCCAGAGCCAGGAGTAGAATCGAGGTACTCCAACACAAGATGTGAATGTCTTAACCTCTAAGCCAAACACCTGCTCTATTCCTGTCTTTAAGTCTGGCGTCTGCCTCTGCTTCCTGGACCCACCATCTCCCCAGCCACTCGCACTTCCCCAAGGCGAGTCTGCTCCTCTGGGAGCCAACCGAGGGGCACGCCTCCCTCTTCGCTGAGCCCCAGTCTGCATTTCTTCCTAGGCTGGGAGATGCGCCTCCAGGTATGTCTGCACCAAACACTCATAGCCTTGCAAACATTTTTCTTTTTTGTCATCCTCTGAGCTACTTGAGGGCAGTGACTCATCTCTGGCACACGCAACAGCTCACATTGAACCAGGTGACAGCAGGTGCTCCACGAAAGTATGCTGAGGGGAAAGCAAATACTGAAGGGGATGACCCATGGACAGACCCTCCACTGAACAGATGACTCTCATGGTGGAAGCCTGTGAGCGCAGTGCAAATGTCACAGATCCCTCCTCTGCAAACCAAGGCACTGGCTCACCAGCTGGGACACTGTGGCCACAGAGGGCTCATTGCTGAGTGTCCGCAGTGTATTGGTTTTCCGAGCTGCTATCATCTGTCACAGTGATAAACATTTACAACAGAAAAAACAAACAACAAAAATGTGTTCTCTCGTAGTTCTGAAGGGCAGAAGTCCAGAATTGGATTTCAGCAGGGCCGTGCTCCCTCTGAGCACACTGGACACAATCCTTCTTTGTCTCTGCCCCTCTGGTAGTGCCCAGCATTT